ATGGCTTAGACTTGAAGTTTGTTCAAATAACTGTAGTACTAATCAAACCTGGTTGATTTTTTTTTCAGCCCTGCTTGTGTTTATATCAGTTCAAATAAATTGGTTTCTTTCTGGCACTGCAGACCGGCAGCATATATCCCTGTATTGTTGCCCTAGGGAAAGCCGTTGCTCGATATAACTAGACATCAGGCAGACTCAGTTAATCTACAGCAACCAAACTGAATTGTTAGAACGCTCTGAGAATTTCAGTCCTCCAGATGAGTCTGTCCTGTTCTTTTGCCTTTTGACAGAGCAGACTATAAGACCAGAGCACGCTTGGAGAAATGAAAGACTCCAGAAGAGCAAGTGTATAAGCTAGAAGGGAACTCTATGAACGAGAGTGTTTCAAGTACCAGGCCATTTGAGAGTCCAGTACTGGGACACTTGAAACTCAGAGAGTCACCTTGCTCACTCTGTGATCCTTTAAATCAGTGCTGTCTCGGCTGACCTGAGGACAGCCTGAAGTGCATTAGCCAGAGAGACTGACAGATACATTAGTCAGCGAATTCTTCTCAGATGTGCTACAGCTCCATCAAATAAGCTTCATGGCTTAATTTTGTCTGTCAGGGCAGTTGAACAGAGATCGTAAGCTGTGCTTTTCAATGGCTGTGCCATCACTAAATATATACATTTTAATTTATCATATTCTAACGACGTTAAAACTGTTCTAAAAGTAAAGAAACCTAATTATGCTGTCTGCTGTGATATTTTTTTTTTTTTACCAAATTACAATCGTTCGTAGGTTCTGTCAGAAATCAATATATGACCCAGCAGGCTCAACCCAGCGATTGGAAAGAAAAAATAGCCCAACATAGATAAATAGATAGATAGAGAGATAGATAATCACGGAATTTGTAATGGTTTACTGTTTATAATGGGAATTGTATTGGTTTTAATGGAAACTGTAATGGTCCCTGTCGGTCTCTACTGTTAATTTGTTACCTTCTATTGGTGGCTTGTGGTAAAACTACTAAATCCTAATGGATCCTAAATCGCAAAACACACTACAGGAAACCGTTTTTTAATGGTTTTAATGGTTAATAGTTGATGGTTTGTAATGTTTGTAATGGTATTTGTGGAAATCATTAGAATTTCTGTGATGGTTTCTATTGTTTTTTTTCTACATGGAAGTGTCAATTTCTATTTACAATGGTTTTGTAGCGTTGAGCAATGTAGCCAATCACAGAGATATCTGTTGATCTCCTGAACTCCTCTGATTGGCCATTGCATTTAAGTTAGGCAGAATTCATTCAACGCTCAAAACGCCAGTTTTTGTTTTTTCCTCTTACTGTAGCAAATTAGACATGATGTAAATTAGAGATTCAATGATTATAAAGGAACATAGTTTGATATAGCGTTAAACTGAAATGAGTGAAAGCCTTTTAGTGATTATTAAGCAAGCGCTATTTGCTCGCTTTTATAGGCTACATAAAATACATTACATGCTGCACACTGTACAAGCAAGCAAAGTTTCAGGAGTGACATATATCCCTCATCCTTCATATAAATGCAGGAATCACTTTCGAAATTGCAGTGATTGACACAGTGATAAGCACACGACCAAATAAAAATATAATTTGTCAAAATTGATGTGCGTGCATATATAAATAGATTAATAGAAAACTGCCATGGGAATTTTCACTCCAAGTTGAACTCAAAAGTTGGCAGCCCTGAGATAGATAGATAGATAGATAGATAGATAGATAGATAGATAGATAGGTTATGAAACATGGGTATAGTGTTTGTTAGTATTCATGTGATTATGTAGTTATTTCCACAGAGAGCATGTTTACAATATATTCTGCTTCATATCTAATATCTCGTAATGAATGGAATTATGGTGCTACCATATTAGTGGAAGAATGTCTATCAAATGCCGTCTATATTGATAGTTTCAATATTAATGCCAAAGCTAATCCCACTAACAAAACAAACAGCTGTGAAATTGTATTTCAACACATTATGAATAATGAGGTAATGGCTCTTGCTGTCAGGAATTCAGAATTCCCTCAGGACACACAGAAAAACAGAGAGAAAATGATAGAGAGAAAAAAAGCGGCAAGACGAAACATAAAAAAACCCTGATGTACTACTATGTACTAAATCTAATAGATCTACTTTTGAAAGTACAGTTCCTATGAGTCAAAATGGTTAACAACATATTTTTCCATCTTCTCTACATATGCTGCAATATACAACCCAGTGGTTCTCAACAGATGGATCATAACCCAAAAATGAGCCCTAAATCAATTCTGATGGGGTCAAATAGAATAGGGAGAAGCAGAAATATTATCGACCACAATGTGTTTGTTTTTTTTGTTTTTTTTGCCATACATTAGCTGTAAGAGCATAAAAACCTCAACATTCAAGGCATGTTGTATATAAAAAAGAATACCATATTGTTGGAGATCTTGGTCATATTATTTATAAATGTCAATGTCTGGTTTTCAGAACATTTTTGTTTACTTTGGTACAATATGATAAACAACTGAGGTTCGTGTTACACACGCAAATAATTTTTTTAATGCTTTTCCTGTCTCCTTTTGCTATTTTTACTGTTCTCTAGATATGAATGTATCTCATTACTAGTCTAAGAGCAAATTTTGCCCTTCATTTTAATTCAAAAATGACTGGGATATTCTGATATAGGACTATCTTAATATCTTTTTTAGGGAGTGTCGGAAAACTTGGAGAGACGCTGAGAATGGGAGATTCTGCATTGGAGATGCATTGCAGTTAATTTCAGTTCCAGTTTTGTATCTGCAGTGGAATTACAGGCCTCCAGGTGGGAAACATAGATGAAAGAGCAGGAGAAGCCAGAATGTTTGATGGGATTTCAGCTCTTGGGGGGCCTCAACCAGTATCTGAGAACTGATCTAAAAACAAGTTTCTCTCCTTTTCTTCTTTCTTTATCATAAAAGCTGATCCTTAATCAACATGCTTTTCTCAGATGCTTGAAAGTATAGTAATAGTCTTGCATACTTTCCTCTACCGCAGAGATCCCCTGTGCTGTTCCATCACTGAGCCTCAGCTCTGTATGACAAGGAGGTGTTCTGAATTTTGATGAATGTTTCATTCCTGTTAGACAAGTTGATGGGTACTGTGCTGGCGCTCCCGGGAGGCTTATACGGTATTAATCATTTTCATGGTAAATGATTCCGCGAGAAAGGGGATGGATGAGGCAACATTTCTGACATGTATTTGCACCGGGCTTTGCCATGATAATCAGCCAGGGACTTATAATAGAGGCCGTATATTATATCAATGTCCACATAAATCCTGAAAGATAGAGGGAGGGTGATTCCGATTGAGATTCAGGACGCAGAATGAACGGGGTGGTACAGCCGTTTGCTTGAGAAAAATGGAAGGTGATTATATTTTGCTGTCAAAATTGGCTGTTTTATTAAGATTTTACGAATGACCTTTCAGAGGCAAAATAGAGTTCAATATTCAAAATAAAGTGAGCTCTGAGAATTCATCTTACCCTGGTGAGTGAGTCACTGCAAAAGGCCAAATGAATTAAATCTGAGCACATACTGTATATCTGACTTATTATAACCGGGTTTGTATGCAACCCATTATTAAACTCATGTTTATATATAGATTTATTTTATATATATATATATATATATACACACACACACATTTATTTATATATATATATATCCTCTGATCGTCTCTTATATGAATGTCAAAAGAGACTGATGTTATTTAATATTACCAGGGAACATATGAATTTTGAATGATTGATTGTTTCCCTTGAGGTTGTTTGATTTTTTCCCCCCATTTGAATCAAGTCTATGTGGGAAGGAATATATTTTAATCATAATAAAAACCTTGTGCATGGTTGCATAATGGGATACATAACAGTATAATTTTATATTTATGGTCTTCCTATATAGTTCTGTTCCTCATCATTACTTGAGTGATATATTATGCTTCTATATTTTAGTGCTTGGTAGATGTTGTTCAGCAATATTTTAGACTTTATAGTTAGATATGGCAGAAGGCTGACCCCTGGTGGTCATTTTAAGGAATCACATCCACAGTGCAGGTGCAGACGGTTGATGGATATACCGGTATGTACAGTAAAGCAGCACTGGCAGTTAGCATCTCAGCACATTTTTGATCATCTTTCTATATGTTTAAAGCAATTGTATTGGAAAATAGGACCAATAAATCACTATTAACAGTTGGATAACCAGTCTCATAACTCGTTTTGGATGAATGTCAGATGTTTGGATTGTATGACTCGCAATCAAGCGGCAACCTCCCGCTCTCTCTCCTGAAGCCAACAAGGAAGTGATTTAAACTGTAATTCGTCAACTGGCCGCTAGAGGCTGGCTGCAAAAGTCAGTCCCATATTAATGTTAAAATGCCCAACTTTACAGCAGAAAAAATATGTTTACAGCCTGGTTCAAAAAATTATTTTGGTCTATATAGCTAATTTTGCCCTTCATGACAACTGTGAGGGGGGTGAATTTTTTTATAACTCATCCGTTTAAATTATATTATGCCTTAAAATTCAGCATAATTAAGGGCGTGGCCACTTCAGTGACAGGTGGATTGCCGCTGCTGTCACCTCTGTCGAGCTAGGTGGGCGTGGTTTCAGCACCCAGCTCCCGCCTCTTTGCCCATTTTCGATTATCCGGGAGTGACGCGCGGTGACGCGCTGCCAAGATGGCGACGGCCCGCTCCGCCCACTTTGAGTTTTAAAAACGTTCCTCGGAAATCTACGGGTGGCGTCACGGACACTACGTCCATGTTTTTACACAGTCTATGCTCGAAATCCGCTTTCTATGGCATCTTAAAGTGATAGTTCACCCAAAAATGAAAACTCATTTCATTCAATCATTTACTCGCCCTCAAGTTGTTCTAAACCTGTATGACTTTCTTTCTTCTGCTGAACACAAAAGAAGATATTTTGAAGAATAAACAGTTGACGGTAGCCATTGACTTTTTTTCGTAATATGGACGTCAATGGCTATCGTCAGTTTGGTTATCAGCATTCTTCAAAATATCTTCTTTTGTGGAATGGCATGTGAAGGATCAGCATATAGTGAATATTGTTGTTTCCTCTTTATAATTTGTGTAGTCTACTTGAAAATCTTACATTTCCTTGAAACATTGCTATAATCAGAAAGATTCAAAGTCATCTAAAAACAGTATTTAACTAGCAAACTGTGCTAGTTTCTGTTCAGCTAGGTTTTTTGTACATCACCCATGAGCATTGCAGCTTTGCTTGAACACTCAATTCTATATGCGTGTGAAGTGCACAATGACTCAAGCACAGGCATGAAATCACTTTGACTATAATTCCGTCTCTTACCCTGAGCAGCATGACTCATAGGCAGTCATTTACAGGGAACATGGGAAAAGCTGCTCTCAGTGTATTTAGGCACCCTTTAGAAGAATGAAACATATGTAGGGGTATTTGATATAACATTTTTTACATTTCTAATTCTTGTGAAATGATTAAACATGTTGTTTTATAACCTTTAAGATTTGTACTTTACAAAAATCACAGACAATTAAACAAAATTGTCACAACACAGGACAGTTTAAGTGAAATGCCAGGTTGTGTGCCATTTAGAATTTAAAATGGCTTTTAAATTCCCATTAAACCCCAGATTTTAAACTGAATTTGAATTCAGGTATAAACAGGATGTAAAATCACAGTTTGAATTTGAATGTGAGAAAGAAGAATACAAATAAAAAAAAAAATGCTTTGGTAAATCATGGTTATAATATTCAAAATAATGAAATGTAAAAGTCATATATTATGGCATATCAAATCAGTATTAATAGATAAAATATCAAAATTATAATACAAAATATAAAATATGACATTGAGATAAAAAGCTTAAATAATGACACGAAAATATGACAAAAATTCAAAATAAAATGAATAAAAGGCTAAAAAGTTATCTTTATGAAAGCCTTGTTTAAAAGTTTTGGGGGGTAAAAGTTTAAAGTTAAAAGTTTACGTACTTTAATTACAAAATACATGTAACTGTAATCAGTTACAGTTACTGAGAAAAAATGTGTAAATTACAATTACTTATAAAAATGTTAACGATTACAAAGAGAGTTGCATCACACACCCCCACATACAGATTTAGCTGATTTCTTTCATAAATTGCATTGACTGATCTAAAATATGAAACACCAGGAGTTTAGTACACAGAATAGGACACATGCTTATTCGATAACTGCTTTATTTCCTATTTTTATTTTATTAAGATTGTTTTTTTTTTTCCAAGCCATTGTTAGATACCAGTGTTTCCTGTCATAACTATGCAAATATTTGATTTCAAAATCAGTAGGCTATCATAGCTACTAAATTATTTATTTTTATGGTTTTAAATCTGTATTTAACCTCAGAATGATCTCAAAAGTTTTTCTGATTTTGTGGTGGCTGTGCTTTAAAAATTTAATTATTATAATCTTAATTCAAGTGATGAAGGATTTCGCAAATGAGAGTAATCAGTGTTTAATACTATAAGGTTAACCCTGCCTGGTTTACATGTCTGAAAATTATTAACAGTTGAAAACAATAGAAATTTTGAAAAGTAATCAAAAAGTAATCAAATGTAATCCGTTACATTACTTTACTACAGTAATTGAAAAAGTTACACTACTTATTACATTTTAGATAGGGTACCTTGCAATCTGTAACCTATTACATTTCCAAAGTAATCCCAACACTGATGGATGGATGGATGGATGGATGGATGGATGGATGGATAGAGATAGATAGATAGATTTTGCGCAACTGTGGTGAACTGCAAAAAAATAAGAGTTCTTGTCCTTGCTATTTGCCATCTACTCAGAGACACTTACATAATTCGAGGAAGTCTAACTGACCCAAGGCTACCCATAAAACTGTCTGAAAGGAGCAGTTTTGGTGTCTGGTGTTATTGAATGTTTTTGGCCGTGTAGTTAAATGATTTTCTAACGTACACAGAGCAATCACAAGGCTAAATGGATGCGACAGAAGAGGTGCCAGAGCTCACAGGGCATGCAACACTCCTGTCAGACCATTTAGTGGTGTGTGTGTGTGTGTGTGTATGTGTGTACCTGGTATTTATCACGTTATGGGGACCAACTGTCCCCACAAGGATAGTAATACTAGTAATTTATGACCTTGTGGGGACATTTTTGAGGTCCCCATGAGGAAACAAGCTTATAAATCATACAGAATGAGTTTTTTTGAGAAAGTAAAAATGCACAAAGTTTCCTGTAAGGGGTGGGTTGGTGTAGGGCAATAGCACATACAGTTTGTACAGTATGTGTGTGTGAGAGAGAGAGAGTGTGTGCTGTTAAGACCATTAGACCGCATGACTCCAGATCTACTAAAGATGAAAGCGAGAGGAACAAATCTTTAGTGATTAATTCGTGCTCATTTTTCTTCCCTAACCGTTACTCCAAAGCACCTGCTGTTTTATCTCACAATGCAGCTCTCTGTCCCATGCAGATTTTACCCATTAATTTGGGATTAGCAGAGTGGACACGGCGGATTCAACTAGAAGCCAATGTGTAATTTGGATATGGGAAACACAAGGTGATGTAGCTTCATTTAGAGGGAGATGCAGAGGGACTGGGAAGGGGTTAGAGGTCTTACAGATACAGACAGTTGATCTAGAGGAGAGACCGCTGAGGGGTGAGAGATCTAGCTTTCTGGGAGCCTGTATGTCTAGGACGGATACGAATTAAACATACTGTCTATCTGACCTGTCACCTACTGAACTGCTTATAACAAGCCCTCATGACTCTGATTTTTCAGGGTATTAGCATTTTTTATAAACCCTTGTTGTTAATTTGATCTGACTGACAGCCTAGAAAAAACATCAAGATTTCCTATAATGTATGCAAAATTATAATCATTTTTCTCTAATTGATTGAAATGAGGCTTGACCATAATTTAACACTTCATTTTATAACCACTAGAGGACAGTGTCTTCAAACACTCACCTCAAACTTACTGTTTTATACTTCAACAAGAAATGGAGAAACAAAGAGCGTAAAACCAGCTCTTGGAGGAGAGTAGGGAAAGACTTTGGGCACTGGTTTCTGTTATAAATGTGTTTACGTATTGTGGCTTTAAAAAAACATCTGTTTAATCTCAGACGATTAGGCTACTTGGCACAATAAAATTTCACTACCCTTCAAAAGTCAGTAAGATTTATTTATTTATTTAATTCAGAGGAAAAAAAGTTAGTGCTTTAATAAAAATAGTAGCATTAAATTATTAAAAATTGACAGCAAAGTCATTTGTAATGTTACAAAATATTATTTCAGATTTTCTCTTCCTTTGAACTACACTGTGAAACCATTTTTTATAAAGGTTTTGTTTTGCTTTTATTTTTAATGTTTCTTTATGAAGTTTGACATGCTGAATACGAAAAGCAGATTAGTTTTTGTGTATCATTAACAGTGGTCATGTAAACTAAACAAATATGTTGACAACTTATACAAGGTAGTCTGTTATTACTCATGCGTAAAAATTACGTAAACAATAACAACAGCTAACAACAGTGTAAAATAAATAGTTAGCCTACCAAAAGCCAGTCGTCCAAAACTTCAGAAGTGTACGTTGGATGATTTTTGTCTTTTATGACTAGTCCCACAATGTTTTGGAATGTCCCAGAAAAACAACTAGAATGTTACAGAATATTCCAGAATGTTACAGATAATTCTAGAATGTTCTCACCCAAATTAGCTCAATTAAAAAAAAAAAAATCATGCAAAATTAGTAGAAAAAAAAACAAAAACTTATCCAATGTTATCCAACTAAACCAATGTTTCATAATTAATGCTAGAAGGCCTAAAATTTACCTGACCTAAACATTTACCAAAATATTGAAGCTACGTGAAAATAAATAGTACAATAATAATTCGCACCAGAGAATTACAGAACCATAAAAAAATTAAGTGAAACTAATTTTTGTTACATTGTGCTATTCAACAAAGGATCCTGAAAAAAAATCAGTTTCCACAAAAATATTAAGCAGCAAATCTGTTTTCAACATTGATAAAAATGTTTCTACAGCAAATAAGGAATAAATTAGGCTACATTAAATATATTAAAATAGAAAGCTTTATTTTAAATTCCAGTAATAAATGTGACAACTGGCATGACAATAATGCACCAATAGTAGATGCTTTTTATATACTATTGCCTGTGCACCTTGTGCATGATACATTGCATTGTGATGTTAAGCCTTTAATTTACTACCATTTCTTGCCACCAGAGGGCATTCTTTTTGTAAGTACAGCAGGTGTTCTAATGAAAATCATGTTTACCTTGAATATTATTAATATTAGTGGTTATTTTTTACATTTTGTTCCGAACATATATATTTTATTATAATTGCAGGTCATAGTAATTCTTTTAACGAATTTTGTCGTACTGAATGAGGATTCGAAAACTCATCTATAGCCTTGCTGTAAACAGCCAGGTTTCTATAGCTGTTCTTGAGAGAAACAGTTATTTGAGTTTTCTGTTTTAGGTCAGGGCACCCAGAGGACTAAAAAAACAACATCCATTTGAACGAATCCATCATGCTAAGTTAAACATCTGCGGGAGAATGCGCTCACACTACCTAATTGACACCAGTGACGCCACATAGACTTATATTTACAAACAACCACTTAAATCTAATAGAATTCATTTACATTTTTATGAGCTGTTCTATCTCGGCAACCGGCATCTGGGGAAAGCAGATGGGAAGAGAATTAAAGAGTGAATATAGGCATTATGAGCGTCCACCGAGAGTGGGCCTGGGTTTATTTCTATCCCCCTCTCACAAGGACACTAGATGCTCCCGATAGCCCCGCGGTAATGGCTGAATCGTATGGACGAAGGGGTTCACGCAAGTCACCAGCCGACAGAAGCTTTTAATGTAATGTAAAGGAGTGGGATCGGACACGAAGGGGGTGGAAGGGGCGGTGTGGTCGGGGGCAGAGGTGCGGCGGAGGAGGCGATGCCCATCTGAGTGCACTTAAGTGGTTAAAAGTGTAGGGAGGAGGAACAGGCCGCTCTTTAAATGAAAAGACACATGAAGAGTAGGCTATAGTTTGCTATCCCGTACTTTCCGCGGAGAAGAATCGCATCGAGGCCATTGAAGTAATCCACGTCCAACGGGACCCATATGGTCCGGCCATTTATCCGAACAGATTGGCGCTTTCCTTAGCATCAGCCGACTGCTAATCCCCGCTTTCTTGAGTCTCACACACAGAACCTGTTAATTGGCAGCCCAAACCAACGGCAGGCGAAATGATGGGCAGCTCGGCCCGTCCCCACGTGACCGCCTCTCTCGTATTGATTCCCCTCCAATGTCTAATTCTATTAATCAGAGCAATTTCCCTGTGGGCAGTGGTTTATTTCACTCATCAAATGCCTGATGAAATCTTTAGACACCGCGAATTAGGGCCAATCACAACAAATAGCTGATAGTGTTAACCAGTCACAAGCTGCGCCGAGGCAGCGGTCCACTCTAATTTGAAAGCAAGTGAGGTGATAATGCGGTCTGTCATCCTTTTGTGGGCGCGCATTAATGCCGCTGCCTGAGATCGCAATTGACGGCAAATCGACTGCTTCCAAAGGCAGCAGAAGAAGATGAAATTGGGTTGATGCTGAAAATAAAGACCATTGACTGGCAAACTGCGGAGCGACTGCGGACTTTAATCCATTATTGTGCCTGATGGGGAGGGCTTAATGCATCCCTGTCTTACGTTATATTTGCATGGAGCTCCGCTCTCAAAACTGGAGATATACATTAGAGAGCCTCTGCGTTAAGTGGCTGACTGCGCCTAATTGATTTGCCAAGAGAAAGGGTCAAGTTTGCTGTACGATATGGAAAATCTATAAACTATTGACAAATTATATGTGCAGGGGCTCTGTGCTCAGATTCACCGACACATGAGATTGGAGAAATGAAATGTAAGATTTCAGTTTCTTGAATTTGCAGACAAATATGGTGCCAGTGCAAACTATGTGCTCAAACACACACACACACACACACACACTGTAAATGCAATAATGGTTGCTATTCTGTCAATACAGCCTTATTTGTACATAAATATGCGTTTAAATTTATATTTATATTTACATAACATAAATACCTTTATGTATATATGCATAGTAATAATAATAAATACATTCTCTATATATATATTTTTTTTTTTAAATGTCTAAAATATATATGTTTCAT